GTGTGTGTGTGTAAGTAAGTGTGTGAGTGTGAGTGTGTGTGTGTGTGTGTGTGCGTGTCAGTCAGTGAGTGTGTGTGTGTGTGTGTGTGTGTGTGTGTGTGTGCAGTGCACTGGTTTGGGTGGTTTATAAGGACACAAATTTGTATAATGACATGGGTATGACACAGGGATTACAATATGAAGGTGGTTTATGAGGACACTTTCTGTGTCTGTAATTCAAAAGGCTTAAAAAACATACTAAATGGTGTTTTTTTAAAAAGTCAGTGTGTGTGAGTGTGCGTGTGAGTGTGTGTGAAGGATGAGTACAGTGTGTGTTGTGGCCATCAGTAGGTCAGTGGTCTATATTTTGAGCCGCTCTGTTCTTCTGCTCTTCCTGTGATTGATGCGGCTGTAATGAAATCGCTCAGTGTTTTAATAACAGATTCTGGACTCGATGTAATAAAATGCTGCTGTCAGAGCTGATCAAGTCTCCACACACACACATACACACTGCATCAAGAACACGCGTCGCTCATGAATCTTTCTCTTCATCTCTGCAGATATCTGGCTATGTACGCTTACAAACCGCAGAAGGCGGATGAGCTGGAGCTGCGGAAGGGCGAGATGTACCGCGTGATGGAGAAGTGTCAGGACGGCTGGTTCAAAGGCACGTCGCTGCGCTCCGGAGCGTCTGGAGTTTTCCCAGGAAACTACGTCACACCCGTCTCCAGGTGAGCATTACTGAAATAATACTATACTATACTTGTGTTTTTTTTGAGGAGCTTTTGGTACAAACATACATACATATATAACATGAGAACAGAAAGAACATTTAAATAAGTAAGACTAAGGAAAAAAAATCTATAATAATAATAATGTGGTATAATCTGGAGCAGAAGATTTATGTATAGATTTGTGCATTATTTACTGTATATACAGCTGTATAAATAAAAGTATGTATATGTATTTACATAATACTTTTAATCGAACAAATCTACTAATAAAAACAACAGCTACACACATACAAAGGCTAAAGAGTAAAAATAAGATTTAAGTCTAGACTTAAAAATGTCCAGAGAAGGAGCAGATCTCACATGATAGGGTAGACCATTCCAAAGCTTGGGGCCAACCACAGAAAAAGCCCAATCACCCTTTGATTTGTACCGACACCGTGGTACTGTTAGAAGCAAGTGACTCAAAGATCTAAGTGCCCTAGCAGGACAATATGGCACAAGAAGTTCAGAGATATAACTTGGTGCACAACCAGACAATGCCTTATAAACAATTATAGGGTAAAATAAAACAGGAGAAATGTGATCCCTCTTTTTTGACCCAGTCAAAAGTCTTGCCGCAGCATTTTGAACAGCTTGCAATCGTGACACTGAAGATTGAGGAAGACCAGAATAAAGAGAGTTACAATAATCCAATCGAGATGTAACAAGTGCATGAATCACAACTTCCATATCCTTCCTTGAAAGAAGATGCTTCAACTTAGCAGTAGATCTCAAATGGAAAAAAATGCTCTAATAACAGCACTAATTTGTTTATCAAAAAATAGAGAGGAGTCAAAAATCACTCCAAGGTTTTTGATTTGTTTGCGTACATTAGTTGAAAGTGGACCTAACTGAACTTCCAAAGTAGGAGACGAGTGTGCAGGGCAACCTAATATTAAAACCTCGGTTTTATCCTCATTTAACTGCAGGAAATTATTAAACATCCATGTCTTAATATCATGTACACATTTCAATAATACATCAAATTAAACAGCAGTATCAAGCCTTACTGGAAGATAAAACTGAGAATCATCCGCGTAACAATGATATGAAATACTGCATTTTTGAAAAATGTGGGCCAAGGGAACCATATAAAGGGAAAACAGTAAACGTCCCAAAATGGATCCCTGGGGCACTCCACACAAGACAGGTGCAGAGTGTAGCGAATCAGCTCATGGGGAAATATGAATAATTAATCATAACTAGTTATAATTAATTATAAATATTTAGATCCGCTGTAGATATTTACTTGACCTCTCAGGGTCAACTGTCTTGTCAATTCTAAAAACGTTAATTTCCTGGTTAAGGGAAATAACTTTCTTACTGTACAATTCTACACAGAGCTTGTAGCATATAGCATAAATATTAAGTGACTCCAGTTATGAGCAAACAATGAACAACGTCAAGTGTGATACAAGTAAGGCGTAAGGCTTTACATAAACACTTAAACTAGTCTAACATACTACATAAACACTTAAACTGGTCTAACATACACAAACACACACACACACACACACACACACACACACACACACACACACACACACACAGAGTGTATATGATTCCGAGCACGTTTACAATAATAACAACAACAACAACATTTATTTATAAAGCACATTTAAACACAATGTAAACTGATCCAAAGTGCTTTACAGTGATCAAACAAATCTACTAATAAAAACAACAACTACACACATACAAAGGCTAAAGAGTAAAAATAAGATTTAAGTCTAGACTTAAAAATGTCCAAAGAAGGAGCAGATCTCACATGATAGGGGAGACCATTACAAAGCTTGGGGCCAACCACAGAAAACGTCCGATCACCCTTTGATTTGTACCGACACCGTGGTACAGTTAGAAGCAAGTGACTCAAAGATCTAAGTGCCCTAGCAGGACAATATGGCACAAGAAGTTCAGAGATATAACTTGTGCACAACCAGACAATGCCTTATAAACAAACAGAAGAATTTTAAAATCAACCCTGAATTTAACGGGAAGCCAATGAAGGGATGATAAGACAGGAGAAATGTGATCCCTCTTTTTTGACCCAGTCAAAAGTCTTGCCGCAGCATTTTGAACAGCTTGCAATCGTGAAAATTAAGATTGAGGAAGACCAGAATAAAGAGAGTTACAATAATCCAATCGAGATGTAACAAGTGCATGAATCACAACTTCCATATCCTTCCTTGAAAGAAGATGCTTCAACTTTGCAATAGATCTCAAATGGAAAAAACTTGCTCTAATAACAGCACTAATTTGTTTATCAAAAAATAGAGAGGAGTCAAAAATCACTCCAAGGTTTTTGATTTGTTTGCGTACATTAGTTGAAAGTGGACCTAACTGAACTTCCAAAGTAGGAGACGAGTGTGCAGGGCAACCTAATATTAAAACCTCGGTTTTGTCCTCATTTAACTGCAGGAAATTATTAGACATCCATTTCTTAATATCATATAAACCTTTCAATAATACATCAAATGAAACAGCAGAATCAAGCCTTACTGGTAGATAAAACTGAGAATCATCCGCGTAACAATGATATGAAATACTGTATTTTTGAAAAATGTGGGCCAAGGGAAGCATATAAAGGGAAAACAGTAAAGGTCCCAAAATTGATCCCTGGGGCACTCCACACAAGACAGGTGCAGCGGATGAGAAAAAAATTCCTATATTTACAGAAAAAGTCCTGTTCTCGAGATACGAGGCAAACCACTTTAATGCAGTGCCTCGAATACCTACCACACATTCAAGTCGATCAAGAAGAATGCTATGGTCAATGGTGTGAAATGCCGCGCTCAGGTCCAAAAATACCAACACAACACAAGCATCTGAATCCAGAGAAAGCAGCATGTCATTTGTAACTCTCAATAGAGCTGACTCAGTACTGCGTAATGATCTAAAACCAGATTGAAACTCATCTAAAACACTAAAAGAATCCAAAAAAGACTGAAGTTGTAAAAACACTACTTTCTCCAAAAGTTTGCTGATAAAAGGCAACTTAGAAATTGGCCGATAGTTACAGCACATTGCTAGGTCAAGCTGAGGTTTTTTCAGCAGAAGTTGCACAACTGCATGTTTAAAACTGGCTGGAACAACACCTTTGGCTAAAGAGCTGTTCACTATAGCTGTTACAATAGGACTAATAGTAGGAAAAACATCCTTAAAAAGACCTTAATAATATCTAACTTAGAACCAGAACACTTCATAGTAGAGTCAATATCATCTAGCTGATGTGATAAAACAGGTTGAAGGGAAGACAAACAACTTGTGGTACAAGGCAATTGCAAATGAAGTGATTCAGAAGGAGCAATGGAGGTTCTGATAGCATCAATATTTTGAGTAAAATTGTTTTAAAAAATCCTCACAAAGCTCTGAGGAGGCCTCAGATAATAAATTCATAGTTGGGTTTTAAAAAGAATCAGTCATATCAAACAAAGCTTTTGGTCTATTCACATTATCAGCAATTAACTGAGATAAATTACTAGATTTTGCATGTTTTACTGCTATTTGATAATTAGAGACACTTAACTTTAAGATATCAAAGGAAACATGTAGCTTATCTTTTTTGCACTTTCGCTCTGCTTTCCGACACTCTTGTCTAAGAGCGTGGGTGGTTTCATTTAACCATGGCTGGCCAACACCCTTTACCCTTTTATTCTTAAGCGGAGCAACAGTGTCCAAAGATGTAGAGCAAGCTTTCAAACTTTTAGTATCAGTTTCGTTAAGGATATCATTGGTAACATTTAAAGAATAATATTCAGAAAACAAATTTGCAGAGTTATAATTAATAACTCTAGACAAATGTGAATGCTGACCGAAAGTAGGTGATGGAGAAAAGCATTCAGATTCAAACAAAACTGGATAATGATCAGACACACATGCCTCAATAACCTCCATGTTTGAGATCAAAAGGCCACGGGACAACACCAAGTCAAGTGTATGACCCAAATTATGAGTTGGGCCACATACATATTGTTCAATATTCAGTGACTCTAAAAGAGTTACAAATTCCTTGACCAATGGTTTCGAAGGACAATAAAAATGAATATTAAAATCCCCAATGATTAGTAATCTATCAGCACGAGTCACCAGATCAGATAGAAAATCTGAAAATTGACAAATAAAATCCTTATTCCATTTAGGGGGTCTGTAAACCAAAGCACATAGTACAGGCCCCTTTACATCAACCTTCAATAGCTGGAATTCAAAACTGGAGAAAGTATCAGTGGGCACAGTCTTACATTTAAAATGGCTTCTAAAAATTGTTGCAACTCCACCACCATGTCCAGAGGCATGTGGCGAAGTAAAAAATGCACAGTCTGGAGGAGCAATCTCAACAAGAGGCATCAAGTCACCATATTTATAACCAAGTCTCAGTAATAAATAAGCAGTCTAATGAATGCGATGTAAATAAGTCATTTAGAATAAAAGATTTATTCGATATTGACCTAGCATTCACTAAGGCCATCTTAGCAGTAGTAGTACAGGCTGACCGCCGAGAGCTGAGAGGTGCGTCTTTGAGCAAAGTGATATTTCCAAAATTGATGCTCCGACTCTTAGCATTTGATCCGATGGAAGAGTGGCGATATGATGACCAAATGACCAGGATATATTCATTATCCTGCGATGGAGTCACAGACCTCACAAGGAAATCACGGCGAGATCCGTGATGAATGTACCTGGGGCGGCGTATAATTCCCAGTGCGGCACAGCAGTTGTATATTTCGCCGGGAAGATGGTAGAGCGAATTTAGTCTCTGTAGATCCAATGAAGAGTATTTAAGCACCATGCTCGGAAAGCAGTTCACACCGGGAACGAAAAACAGATCCCACTTCGAAGAACAAACAGTAAAATTCCAGCAGACCAGTGCACAGATGATATAGCACCACATTTCAAACTGGATTTAGTTCTCCACGTTCAAGTTCATTCAGATCCACCACCTCAGTCCGCGCACCGTAACA